CCGTTATTGATTATTTCGATTTCGGCAGAAAATTGAGGCTCCCTGCGACTGCTCACTCAAAAATCTGTGGTGCATTTACGTACGCCATGGACATCCACTCAATTCTTAGATCAGGCTACACATTTTCATCCATCCTGTTTCAGTTAACTTTTAAATGATAGGTAGATTTCCGAGTAGGGCTATGGAGTTTGCTATCTGCCTCATAAAACACTTCCTCACGTTAGCAAGGGAGACTGCAGACGATTTTAACCTCATGAATGGAATTATAAAGTCTTCTGGCCCGTGAGCCGATCTTAAAAGGCAAAAATCGATCTGATTGGGCACTTATCTCAAAAAAATGACGTCAACTAAACAGGAAGTCGCCGTCAAAAGTTTCGCATATCAGTGCTTTCTTGAAGTCAAACCAAGAAAAAAATATACTTTCGGCTAAATTCGACAAGGGGGTTTCCCTAGCTCTGCACCCCAGTTTCATAGACGCGATCGATTTTTTTCTCGCACGTGACAAGTTTAATCAGCAATTCAGATGACTGTATTACACAGGTCCAGCTCACCACGAATGACCGTCCCTTATTGCAGTCAGTCGGTTGTGGATTCTTGACCGAAGTTGAGTCATTTAGTCTGTAGGCCATGCATGCTGAAGGCTACATTGCCACAGGCGCACTCGAAGGCAACTCCGACCCAGTCCATCTAAATCTTCAGTTAGTCAGCTCCATGCTATCGCCAGCCTTGTTCAAGGTCTTACGAGATGGAATTCTGGAAGATCTCCCCTGTCGTCTTGAGTGCGATCATGACTGGTCCATTGTGATCGACAAGCTGGCGGACGCGACTTTTTGCTTCTCTTCCTCACCGCCTGTCTAGCCTTTCAGTGGGAATATGGTACAGGAAGCAGCGTTTTCTCATTTGCCATACTGAAGGAAAGTTTTACTCATCGTTTTTCCAGTTCACCACTCGTTAAAAAACTAATTATAAAATTTCTTTCTAATTTATTATAATCTATTCTACACAAACATTGGGCCTTAAGTTAGCGAAAATAATCGTTTTTTGGACATGGGTAATACAACTTACGGGTCGGAATGCACGCTATACCTTGTGGCATTCCATGTCGACCTTCAGTTCCTTAACCCACAATACCATGTTATCTCTGTAGGTGAAACTTCACGACCTTGATCCCTCCGCAGTGGAAACGCTCGTGGATTTCTGCTATACTAGCAGGATTCAAGTTGAAGAGAAAAATGTACAGGCTCTTTTGCCGGCAGCTTGTCTCCTGCAAATGACGGAGATCAAAAACGTTTGCTGTGAGTTCCTCAAACGCCAACTGGATCCTACCAACTGCTTAGGCATACGGGCTTTTGCTGATACCCATTCGTGTGGCGATTTGCTGGCCTTGGCTGACCGTTTTGTTCACCAGAATTTTTTGGTGAGTTTTCGGTGACATTCCCATATGCCGATATCCTTTGATACATATACTTATATACCTAATATATGTAATTTAGTAGGAATTCCAAAAGTCGGAAATCTTCAGCTTCCCGCGAGTACTTTTCGTTTTATTAGTTTTTAGTTCAATTATAGTTACAGTTTTAGTTAGCTTCATTTTTAATTCAATTTAGTTTTTTAAGCAATATACGATTGCTTTTCGGCTTATCTTACTAAAAAATCTGTCCAAATGCACGAGGAGGTATTGAGTTTAAAAATGAGGGAAAGCCTATCTCTCATAGTTTTATTTTAATCTCTAAATTTCGATATAGAGTCGATATCGGTTTGCAGCCTATTTTCAGACACCTTTTGCGCAGATCTTGCTTCCTGTTGATTGTATTTGTCATTTTAATCATCGCGCGCATTAATCTCACTAATCACGTATGATTACATTTTGCCTTGGGCTCACACCAATGCAAATATCCCAAAATGCATTTAAAACTCTTACAGCTCTAACCTTGTCCTGCTTGCAAGTCGCGGCGAAGTAACTTTGTAAGGCAATGTTATGGAATATTATTCAACGAAGCCATCAACGAGTATTATACGTTTTCCATAAAGCTATTATCCAGCTAATACGAATTTCGATGTTAACAGAAACGGAGTATTGCAAATTTGTTTTGGGTCCTGGCTTCTGGTTTTGAATAACCACCGTTAAAAATCCGAACGGAGTAGTCATTTCAATAAATGGGACGTTCAAGTAGCATCGGAGGGAAAAGAATGCGGGGTCTGTCCTGTCTTGTAAATAGATCTCATTATATGACTCGCCAGTTACATGTGCATTTATATCATCAATGCCTGCAAAGCGAGCCTCCATTTTGCGGTGTTCTACTTTGCTCCCCCTTTGGTTGACCGTGGAGGTGATAGCCATAAGCGTTGATTATCTCTTGTCAAGAGGGTTCGCAAAGCCTGGTAGGGCGCGGGCATGTTTATATTACGGTTACCCGAGCGGTTAGCCGACCGTCGGTACTCATACATATTCTTTGACGTGATCATGACTTGAATTTGTCCCATCTGCGTGGCGTGAATTTCCACCAACATCGAGCCGAACTTACAAATGGTCAACTATTTCGCGCACTCGCATTTGTGGCGGTTGACCGGCCTCTGATGTGATTGTTCTCTTCACAGTCTTTATTTGCTTGCGACTGATCTCCATGCGTCAGGTCACAATCTTATAATTGACTCGCAAGATATCTTGCAATGAAGTTTCGTACTTTGTAAGACCAGAACAACAAAGCCCCAATGCTTCGCAAACAGCGTGAAAGTTTATTATTCTTCGTATTTTTTGATTACTATTTCACATCGAGTGCAAATAGCATTTTTATGTAATCGCTGCAGCAAATAACATCGTTTTTAACCGTGACATTATGATGCGCTTAATTATAGGCAGACGAACATTGCCGACAAAGACGAAATAAACTGCACTGGCCCTTTCTGGCTTATTGGCCATTATCAGCCAGCCACACCCGTTCCAGTGGTTAGAACATTTGGCTTCAAAGCATTAGGTCTCGTGTTCGAGCCTCTAGTGGTGTACCACCTGGGGTTGGATGTGGCTGGATACTGGCTACTAAAAAGCCAGAAATGACCATTCCAGTCTGTCTTTTCTTTGTTGGAAATGTTGATTTGCCTATAACCCCAGCGACTTTGCGTCTGCTGGCGGGGCTTCTGAGCGAGCCCCAAGGTAGAACGGAATGTATGAGTCGCGTAACCGATCAGTAATCGTTGATCCAACTATGCGCTTTGTTACCTGCAAATTACCTCTATGTATAAGCATTTTCTAATGCCCATTTAGACAAAATGTCTGAACCGAGAAATGGAAGTAGTGAAAAGAGATATGTAGTGACGGTTATGGGCCAAAACGGGGTCAAGGTTGGCTCACGGTGAACATCTATCGGGCTGTGCACAGTTCGCGCGAGCCAATGCCTACTGTTGTACATGCACATAAGGCATTTTAGGTACGGGCTTTCACGCCGTATCAGCCACAGCGTCTAGTCATGCACTGGCTTACAGTCCGAAAGGTCGACAGACGCCTTGAAGTGAGTGGGAAGAGTTCAGCACCTTCTCGTGCCAACAGTGCCTGTACGGAAGTACTATCTTAATGACAGCCTTACATACTGTCTGCTTTGTCCTATTTATTATAATCTTGCGGCATTTCTAGAGATTTCCATGACGTTGAACAAAAGTCATGATTTTCTAGGTGATCTTACACCTAGCAGAGTGTTTATTGCGCCAATGTGATAGAAATCTCAAGCAGGAGGGCCGTGAAATCCACGCGTTTGCTCGCAACATACACAGCTTTCTGTTGTAGGTCAAACACCTTCAAAGCCCAGGCAGCCGCAGTAATTTTGGGGGAACATTTGCTCGCATCCTAAACCGACTGTGTTCTCGCCCACCAGGGCTCCTACATGTCGCATGTCTGGTAATGAGCCTGCTAGCATTAAAGCGTCACCAGCTAGGTAAAGATTCACCATCTACTGTGCCTTATGCATAGCCTTCAAATGCGGCACTATCGAAAACCATTTGGAAGACTACTGTGCCGACTGTATAATGAGCCGTGGTACACATGACGATCGGCACGATACGTTGTTCCAATCCAAGGGTATGGTTTTAACTTCCTAAACAGCTGATAGAGGTGGCCTCTCATGCTTTATAAATTAAGCTGGATGTACCTTCCATCTCGGCCCTAGGTTAGGAAGTGGGATTGGATGAATTCTAGTACAGTGGAATCTCCGTTAACGTGTTTAATCGTTTCCAGCATCGAGCTCGTCATTTGAAACGCTCTTCTTGCAAAACGTAGCCAATCAAACTGCATCAGTTTACTGACTGGCTGCTGGCGATCGAGGATCCACGCCCCGAGAAACAAAACTCAACGGCGGACACAGGTGCACACACTGACAGCTTGTTAACTAAGCGGCAGCTCGTCAATAAAAACACATTTTCCGCTAGTAGCTCGCTCGTTACTCGGAATACTCGTAGATGGACTTGCTCATCACCCGAGGCTCTACTGTTCTTGGTTAAGTATGTTATGTGCCCCATAGTCACCCCTTAAAATTTTGCCGGAAGTTCGTAAAAAAGCAAACGATGCTGTCTTACCTCTCTTTTTAGATGAGTATATCGATTTTCGTCACTGCCTTTCTTTTCTACTTTTAGCTTCTTTCAAAATTGCTCTCTTTGAAAGCCAAACACCTAACTCCCACTCCCGCATGCAAATTATCTTCTAGGAAGTTGTCGAATCGGAGGAGTTCCTTCTTCTGCCCCTGAGCCAGCTGGTGGACCTGCTGAGTTCAGATGACCTGAGCGTGCGTAACGAGGAACAGGTTTACCTGGCTGCCATGCGCTGGATCCTCTACGACCTTTCTTCCCGCCTGCCGCATCTACCTATACTGCTGCAGCACGTGCGTCTGCCCTTACTGTCGCCCAAATTCCTCGTTGGCGTAGTGGGTGCCAACTCGCTGATTCGTTCCAGTGAATGCTGTCGTGATTTGGTGGATGAAGCCAAAAACTACCTCCTCTTGCCA